AAACTAGAGGAGCCCACTTGTAATCAGTGAAACGAACAAGTAAACTTTTTTTTTTAATTCTCATGTAAATTTGCTAAAAAATAATACGTTAGTTCACTCTATTAATACGTGACGATCTATATGTACAATTGGCGAGACAACATTTTTCTAAAAGTATTTGCATTCATATTTTAAATAGATGACATTTTGTAGGTTGTCAATTATAGTATAATTTGACAACAAAACAAAATGATCCTAAGGGTTTCGTAGCTCACCGGAACTTATCAATCCTTTTAGCGTGTATTACTTTCAGCACAACTTCACTTGGTACAACCACACCTTTTTAGTATATTACAAAGCGTGTAAAATGGAGTACAAAAACTCTTGTATCGCACTGTAATATGCAAAAATTACAAAATATTTATTTGAACGAATATTCGAGGCGTTAACATTTTTCCTTTATAATACTAAATGTTCTAAGAAAATTCATCAAAAATCTTATCATCAGTAAGATATTAAGAATTTGGTTCAAAAGTTTCTTTTACTTACATACAACATATTTGAAACTTTAATTAAAGAATTATGTTAAAGTTTTCCTTTTAAAATTTACAGAAGAATATTTAAGCATACGAGCAAAGATTTAAAAATTTCAACTCTTTATATATAAAATATGTATGTGTGTATATATGAAACTTACAAAGGATTTTCAGATTAATTTTTATAAAGAATTTAAGTTGAGTTATTTTGCTGAACGACAGTAAAATTAAAGTAATCTTACAAAGTATTATAAAAGTTACAAAATCATACACTAAAAATTCTGAAATATCTTATTTTATAAATTCTTCAGAAAAGATGTGCATACAATTTAGATTTTATCTTCGAGAGTATTTATGTGTGCACGTACTCGTATACCTTCTTGTTGGTGGATTTCATAATTAATTTTATAAATTATTGGGTCAGATTAAGAGAGGTAAGACATACGAAAAAAAACAATCGAGATTTTTTAAGCATTTTCCAAATTTTGAAATGAGAGTTTAGACAATCAAATAGCATAATTTTTCATTATTTTTTGTTCAATATAACAAAAATCTAATATAGTTAACATAATTATGTATGACAGACTGCATTTGCTTATTTTCTAAATAAAATAAATTCCAATAAATTTATTTTTATTATAGCGAAAGTTTTGCAAAAAAATGTCTTTTACTGAACACTTTACTTCTCAAGAAATGAGTAATCCTCTAGTTAATATTCTTAGAAACACATACATAAATCCAGCTCTTATTTGAGATTTATTTACTAAAATCCTAGAAAGTTTTCCAGCTAGATCAGATATAGTCAAATAGTCTGACCAAATTTCGACTTCCCAGTCCAGATATTCCTGGAAAATTCGTCTTCAAAATCCTCAGTAAAAAATTAAAATCTATTTACAACTGAAGCAATATAAGTAATTAAACTCACATATTTTATACATAGCTTTACGCTCTAGGTGAAGTTGAATAAAATCATGGCAATCAACTTAAAGTTTACATATGTAACTAATATTAAAAATTATTATTAAAATATTAAGATTAAATTAAGTTCTCACTATGGTAACTATGAAATTATTGTATTTCGATTTTATTCATTTAAATTTAAACTTTGTTATTTCCAAATACAAACATACATACATGCATACGTTTTTTAAATTAATAACTCTCATGTGTTCGTTTCTTATCTCTGTATACAAGATTTTACAAATATTCAAACCACACGCATTTTTTTTGCATAAAATGTGGTAACAAAAATCTCTTGCTACAATGTAATTTGCAACAGAAAAAATTAAAACTTTCATGATATAATTTCATTTGGAAATTCTCGTTTTAAATCTTCTTCAATACTTTTATGCGGACTTTAAATTTTCACTTAAGTTACATTCATACATATATGTATGTACTCGTACATATATGTACATATTTTAAATTTTATGTTAGAATGATGGTGTGGATTGTGAAATTATCAAAAAATTTTCTAAAATATTTATCAGACGCCCATATAAAATTTACATACATAAATATTGTATAATATTTTATAGTTCACTTATAGAAACAATAGAGATGCATATTTTGATAATCATATTCATATCCACAATTTTTATAAGATTTATCTGAAAATTGAATATTGAAAAATTAATTTAAATCTTTCATAGTTTGTAGATGACTTAATGAAAACAAAAAATATTTCGAAGACTTTAACTAACGCCATATGTAATGCCATACATATCTATCAGGCCATCAAGCTCAGAGAGCAAATCAAAAATAAATTTCAAATTTATATGGAGTTTAAATGGAAGGTGTGTGATTTTGGAAATTGAACAATATTATTAGCTCAATCCATTGGTAAATTCCATCTGAAAAATGCATTTAAAAAACAAAAATTGCAATTTTTAGCGCAGACAACCTTTCTTGTCTTCCAAATGAAAGGGTACTGAGTTACGGAGTAAAATTTTTGAATAAAAAATAAAATTTAAAAATAAATTGAAAAAAAAGCAAAAAAATTAAAAATTATTATCTAGATGGCTTTTAAAACTATACTAAATAAAGTTAGAATTATAAAGAATACTCAAAAATTTCACAAAAAAAAATAAAAAAAAAATTTCAATCGGCATACTTCGAAAACATAAAAGAGTGAGAATTGTTTTTGTATATTTTTCCGACATAATTCGGAAAAAAATAAATTCAGTTTGGTGGCATGGTACATATAGGTGGCATTACTTTAACAAAAAATTTTTCAATATGTTTTTTTTTGTAAATCTTGTTTTAAAGAATTAAAATATAATTGTTAGAATTTTCAGATTTCAAATCATTCACAGTTGCTGTATAAAATATCATTTAATAAGAAATATAACAAGAATTTAATTAAATAATTTAAAATACAAAAATTAGATATGGAAATAGTGATAAACATGCCTTTAAGATGAATTATTCATTCAAAATATTTATGTAATTGAGTGTTGGAAGGAAAACATAAAAACATGCACAGTGACCAAGTTAAAGAATCTGCAGCACACCCTCGAGAACCATATTCTCCTCATGAATTCGTGTCCTGCAAAATCTGCAAACATCTTCACTTTTAAGGACCAGCCTCTTAAGTTGACCCCTCACACTTGTATAGAAGCAAACTAACACTTTCAATAATGCTGTAAAAGTTCATTTTTGTATAACAATCGACTGGATTCTGTTTCGACAAGACTATTATTTTATGAATTAAGTATCACTTTCAAAAACCAAAGAGCTCTTATTCATTTTTCAAAAGTATTGATATTTACAGTACAAAATCCAAATTTCAAAATTTGGCATATTCTTAAAACTACCTGCCACTTCGAATAATGTGTCATAGATGAATGATTTTTTGTTTAACCCGTTAAATACTAATAACGAATACACAGAACCATCCAAGTAATCAATATATTAAATATAATAAAATATTTTCCGAATAGCATGTGCCAAGACGAACACAGTAAATTACATATTCTTTTTTCGGTTGTCTTTCTTAAGATATGTCCAATTCTTACATTTTTATTTTTAGAAAGACCTACTTTGAAGCTTCATTATTTAAGAAGTAGGAACCAAAAAAGAAAATGTCACAAGATATGTATATCTTCTAAGTAATCTTTAGATTACTTAGAATGAGATTAATTAGTTGCTAATTTTGGTCAATATTTTGTAAATGACTTTCCGAATACAACGAAATAAAATCAAATCTTATAATTTACGTTATTGCCATAAATAATTTTCCCTTTCATAATTTTTTTCTTACTTATTTTACCCTAAAGCACATTAAACTCATCTGTTGACCAAGCATTCATCATCTAAGTAAAGAAAATTGGTCCGCTTACCTATTCGTTTACCCAAAAAAAAAAAGCAAAATCTATTTTTCTTTATAACAGATGACGTGACCATAAACAATATTTATTTTATTAAATAAGGATTTACACTTTTTATAAGATTAGCCCTCATTTTTCATTTTAATTGTATTTAGGTCACCTATGAAACTCGTCTTTAATAATGACGATGGCCATTTATTATCTCAGAAATATGTCTGGATTTAAAATAGACAAAAAAGGAATGGATAAAGAGGGGCGCCATCTCAGCTGTGTTTTATCAAAAAATTTAATTCATTGCATTTCACAAATTTATAAAAAGGAAAAAAAAGGAAAAAATATGGTGGGATCGAAATCAGATTGCTTCCTTCTTTTTATTTAAAATTTAGTGTGTAATTTATAAGGTGAACTTCGCTTTATACTCCTATTGTACAACAATTACATTTTGTATTGTGGTTTTAAACGGTTTGCGTATAATACGCGCTTGAAGTGTTTTGCCATTGCCATTGGCACAAAATATTTAAAAGCTGATTGAAATTATTGAAAACTTTGATATGATCTTATCTATTAAATTTTGTAATCTGCGAACATAATAGTAGACCCTTTAATTATTTAAAATTTAGATCTCTACAATAAGTATAAGAATGAAACTTATTGTAGGGCTAGTGAATTCAAAAAATATTTTAGAACGTTCAAGTTTTATTCTTGTTTGAAAAATAATTATAGATGAACAATAATTTTGAATACTTGTCCTGCAAATAAGTATGTCGGCTTTAAAACTAGAAAAACAACTCGAAATGCAAAATTCTTCATATTGGAATTTAGTTTTTATTCTTATCTAGTGAAAGTAGCGTTCTATTAACAATCTACAATTAACTACTCACTGTCACTAATTTTAAATAAAATTAATGCAGAAAATTGGGATCTTTTTAGTTTGTTTTAGGAGTAAATGTATAAATTTCACTAGCGTTATTCGATCCATTTACCACAGACTTGTTAAATTCCTTCCCAAGCTGACTGTAAATACAAGTATTGGTGTTTAAGCATTGGTGACTGACAATATTTTTTACAGTCGCAAAATTTTTTAAAATGCTTAATGTCTGAGCTTGGTTTGGTTATTAAATTTTATTTAGTTATTATTAAAAAGTAAAAATTAAGATTTAATCTCATAATACAATCTTTTTTATTTCTTCTAGTTAATTAATTCAATATCTTAAAAAGTAAAACTTAAAAACTTATCTAAAGTCATCAAATTATCTTCGACAATTGCAAACTTTTCTGCTATCACACCAACCACCTTTAAATCCTTTTAGAAGACAATGAGCAGCACAAAGTTGTTCATTTGCAAGTAAATCACAAGTTGCACGTTTTTGACGCAATCCATGTTGTAAATCAGAATCAAAATGTAATTCTTCACCAGCATCTAGGTTACTATCAATTTCAAATGGATAAGCAATTGTCATTGCAATAATGACGGCAAATATTGCAGCAAAAATTGTGAATTTCATTTTCTTCAAAATATTTTTGAAATACTTGAAATATTTGTGATTATAAAAAATCTTTGTTTGTTAATCTTGAATTGAGAATAACTGAACTGATTATGATATTGAAATTAAGTGAACATTCAATTTTATATACAAATTTTTCAACAAGAGCCATCGTCTTTATGGAATCCCCCAAGCTAAGATTTTGTTTAAGATTTTTTTAGGAAAATAATAAATTCCACATAATCGACAATTGGGATTCACCTATTGGGAATTTTCATCACAATCAATTACATTTACTGATTGGCAAAAGTAGAAAAAAATAATTTTTTTCATTCTCAGAATAAGGTCATCAATACAGTTCATATTACGAATATTAATGATAAGCATTATTTTTAATTTCACACTTGTTCTACCACTTATAGATATACATAGTATATTAATAATTATGTCATAAATTATTGTATTGTGTTGAACTTTGTTTCAAAGTCAATAAATATTTATAGTAGCACACATATTGTATATTCGAATGATGTCTAGCTTTTTCGTGTTCTCTGAAACGTAAAGATTTATACATATTCCTATGTTTTACACATATAGGTGTGTATACAAACTTATATTATCATTAATTGTTTTTGTATTTTGAAAATTGAATAAAATTGTTCGGTAACACAAAAATTGCATATGTTTAGGCGAAATAACGAGTCCAATAGTGACGACAAGTTTCTCTTTATATAAAATTAATAATTATATTCCAATTTCAATCATATTGCAAATAAATCTAAACAAAATAATAATTAATTTTTTTTTTTGCTTTTTGAATAATTCCTGTTTTTTGAAGTAGCTATGTTATTAAAAAAAATTTCAACAAATCAACATTTCAGCTGGTTGCCTGACAAGGTGATTGTGTATAATTCAATTTAATTTTTTAATCAATATTTCCTTAAGTATATGTACATGAGAGGCTCTCGAACGCATACAATTGACTTGGGTATAATGTTCAATTAAAAATAGTTTGAATAAATAGGAAACATATAGCAATTCGATCGAACATCCCTTCAACCTTACTTGTAATAAAAACATATATTGAGCTGTCATAAACGCAGGCGCGGTCCTGATGTATTCGTCGCCCTAAGCGGTTCCTAAAAAGTGCGCCCCCCCCCCCCCGCCCCTCCACCGTTTCACCTATTTTATTACTGTGAACAAAATTTAATAGGCATTGCGCATTGTGCATCATAAAGCACTTTCTTGTAACCTTATTATGCTGAATTATATAATTAAAGTCTGGAACTAAACTTTTCAATTTTTTGTTTTATAAATTCAAAAACAAGGTAGGTAATTTATTTAACTGTATGTTTTTTTATGAAGTTATGATTAGATTTATATCAATCATTTAAACTTGATTTTTTGATTTTAACAACCAAAAAATTTACTTTTTGACGTTAGTGAAACTTATTGTAAAAGGTTCTATGAAAATTATATCAAATGAACTTTTTCAAAGCTTATTTGAATATGAAAAAAAGTAGAAATTTATTTTTATTTTTATTCGTAATTTTAAATTTACGAATAAAATTTGGCTTTTTATTTCACTAATCGCCTAAGAATTTAAGCAGCGTACGAGTATAAAAAAAGTTTCGACTTGCATTCAAAAATTTAAGGAAAATCAAAGTTTCGTTCTAAAATTTATGACTTGAAAACTAAGCTTTTTATGTACATTGGTACAAGCTTTTATGCTGTTCATTAATTTTTTTTGATTTTATTAAAATAAATCCATTTTTAATTTTGGAGTTAAATGTGTGAAACAAATTATTGCGCCATTTCATTTTACTTTTATTGTTTGCATGATTTACACAAGATCAATTCAACATAAAATTGTTAATATTCGCTTGATTATTAAACAACATTTTTCCAATTCAATATAAGTACAGGTATCCCTCGTATAACACGGCACTTGTATAACACGTTTTCGATATTACACGGTATAAAATTTGCGACTTTTTTAACACGATTTTCGATATTACACGGAAATTTTTTTTTAAATTTTGATATTCAACACAACAAAAATGGGATTTCCCCTAAAAATAATAACAAATACTTAAACATACAAAATACATTTCGTAATATGTACTTGAATAATTTATATTCTCTGTCAAGCCACTTGTGTTTTTCACTTTGATAAAGAAAGATCGTTCAAGTTTCAACTAACTAAAGGAAAATATTAATGTCAAATATTTTAATTAATTCTAATTAATGAATAAAAAAAATTAATTATTTCTAATTAATTTTAATTAATGCTAATTGTTGATAATGCAAGTAGCCATACTAAGGAATTAGATCACCCAAACGTAAAAATTGTTTTTCTGCCACCTAATTGTACATCGTTGATTCAGCCCTTAGATCAGGGAATCATATCAACACTGAAAGCATACTATATACGTCTATCATTTGAAAAAATTTTTAACAGACTCGAAAGTGATGGAAATGCAACCCTTCTTCAAACTTGGAAGGAGTTTTCCATTTTAGACTGCGTTACAACTGTAGCACTAGCTTGTAAGGAATTAAAAAGAAATACACTTAATAGGTGTTGGAAATCTTTGCTACCTCAAATGGTCAATACAGAGAATGTTGGATCAACTTTGGAAGATGAATATAATAGAATAATATCCGTTGCCTCTAACTTAGAAGGGGATGGGTTTGTCGATATGAATATTCAAGACATAAGAGAGCTGTTCGAAGAAAAAACCTTGGATGAGGAAGAGCTCATTGCATTATTGAATATATCCAATTTTGATCAAAACGAAAACTTTAGCTTTATCGCTCCTAAATTAAGTTTAGCTGACGTGCAAAAAGGTATAGCGTTAGCTAATGACTTAGAGAATCATTTCGTTAACAAAGATTCTTCAGCAGTTCGTTGCGGAAAATTTAAAAGAGATCTCAGAAGTTGCTTGGGTCCTTATAGAGAAGTTTTGGCCCAGTTGCAATCTGATTTTGTAGCTGCTTCATCTGATGAAGAAATAACTAGTGACGAGGATTTTCAAGCAAATATGAAAAAAATTAATACTAAGTCACGGGTCATTTTTGATGACAGCGATGATTCAAATTAATCTAATGAAATTGTTTCATTACGATTTATACATTATGAATTTATATTTTTATTTTTGTTCGTTATTACTTATGATTGAATTTATTATTTATTTATATTAAAAAAATAAAGTTAATAAGTTTTTCATTAATTTTTTTATGAAATTTCAGATTTTCTAAAATTTACCTCTCGATATAACACGGAGCATGTTTTCGATATTACACGGAAAATACATTAGTTTTACAGTCTCGTTTAACACGGTTTCGATACAACACGGTTTTTATATAACACGGTCTCGATATTACACGGACAAAAAAATTTTCTTGAATTGATGTAATTACGTTATTTATTGTACCTAACAATATTATGTACATAATTTGTTATCTTTTTAAAAACCTCGTATACCACGGTTTCGATATAACACGGAACCAATTAACCGTGTTATAGGAGTGATACCTGTAGTAGATAATATTACCAATTAATATATAATTCTGTGATTGATAACATTTTTTTCAAAAACGAAAGCAAAACATAGTAGTAGAAATTCATAACAATCATGTAACTTTGAAATTCATTCAAAATATTTTGTTGTTAAACAAAAACAAAATATTGGTATACACAATCTCAATATCAAGCTATGCATTCCATTATTTAAGAATATTGCTCTCATTCTCTTTTTCTAATTTCTTTCTATTCTCATTCTTAATTTGTGTTTTTTTTGTTTTGTTCTTGTTGTTTACTAATGCAATAGTATACAGAAAAGTAATACATTATAATAATGTGTTTGTTTGTTTGGTGAGTGGGCGCCAACTAAGCAAAAATAAAATTTTGCATGTATGAAACAATTTAAATATAATGTGTACGAACGAGTGTAGCCACTAAGCATAATAAAAACATTGCTTTGTGATATAATTATATGTGTACGAGCGAGTGTTGATAGGGAGCAATCTCAGCAAAATAAAAATCTTGCTTTATGAGATAATTATATGTGTACGCATGAGTGTTGATCTTATTCATATTAAACAATATAAATTATGTGTGCGTGTGTATTTTTGAATATTTTTATTTTTTGCGTATCTTGCTTCTATGCATATTATATGATTTCACTTATGTATATGTAGGATTGAATGTGTATAGCTGTATGAAATAATATTTTCTGGGTATAGGCATAATATGCGAATTTATTCTAGTATGTATGTAAAAGGAAAAATTAATATTTGCAATTCTGATGATTCATACATTTTAAAAAATATTTTGTGTATTCGTACAATAAATAAAAATAAAAGAGTAGTTTAGAGTAAGAAAATGTGTGAATAATTTTCATTCTATGAACATTTCATTGTACGGAAAGGAAAATATATGAAGATCAATACTAAGTGTTTTGCGTAACTGACCGTTTTTTTTCATGCACATTTTTTATATTATTAGCAATAAAATGTTATGTTTGTATGTAGGTACATTTTATCAAGTAAATTTCGCTGTAAATTGAATTAAATTTGTATTAAAATTTTTTTTTTAAATTTATGGTTTTTTAAAGTTTCTAATGGCGCCCCTGCTTTTCTGTCGCCCACTGCAAATGCATACTTTGCATATATGAACCGTCCGGTCCTGCATAAACGTTATGATCAACATGATATTTGCATTTTAGCTTGCTGTCAATTACCAAGTCCACCAATAATTCTCTAACTTTACATAAATTCTATAAAACACTAAAGTTCAAACTCTGGTGTGTTTGTTCATAACAAGCATTCATCAAATCATCAGAAAAAATCTGTATTTCCCTTTGTAAACCCAATCGAGGTACTGACTATTAACATGAAGTTTATAAAAAGATAGGTTTGATAACTGACCCTTGTAGAACTTCTATTTAACTTCTCAACTTAATATTGTATTGTATTCTGTCAATCTCAACTATTTGTCTTATATCTGTTAAATATGTGCTTAAGTATGTACTGTATGTTTTATATTCCGAGAAGCTTAGGGTTAAAATTTTACCAACAATACGCCGAGACCGTGAATCTTTGATCTTGGTGACCGGTTAAGAAACTACAGTGCTTGATGTAGAACAACATTATTATTGTTTAAGATAAATGCTAATTAGAGCCTTTTCAAAAATTTTCTATAGAGTAATGCCGAAATTTGCCTACAATAAAAATAAGATTCTAATAAAAACAGTTAAAAGTACAAAGTGTTAAAATAACTTTAACATTTTGCTTGGGCCCCGATGTGCAAATTTGATATCTGAAAGAACTTTATAGCTTCATTATTATGCACATTCATTTTCTTGACATAACATGGCATGCTAAATTTACACACATATACAACTCGAAATACATTTACCTGTGTAGTTTAACGAGGCTAAGTTAAATTTCGCCCATGCAATATTGTAAAGTCCCAAATAATGTTGTTTGATGTTCGAAATTTTTCGTAAATTAGTAGCAAAATACTTGAAAAGTAAAGAAGAAATATTTTCAATCAGTTACAGTGCAATACTTTAAAAGATGGAAACTGGAATTGTATAAAATTGATAAAAGTAATAACCAAAAATTTATAAAACTTTTATTTGTCTGGACTCTAGAGCACTCGAAAGGAATAGTAAAAGACTCATTGTTATAGTGATGTATTTTAATTAAATCTAAGATTGCCGTGTTATATTTATTGGAGAACTATTTGAACGATTCAATTAGAATATGATCTTCGAGAGTGTTGATTATGCGTCTGATTTTGAATATTCAATATTAACACTAATAAGATTTTGACAATGTCTCTCTACTTGATCACTTTTTCATTTAGTTCTTTTTAACCTCTTCGTCAATATATAAAACGTTTATATGTTGTTGCGCATAGTTTAAAACTGATGCTTTAGGTGCTATTATTGAACAAAACGTTTGAGTAAAATTTTATGCAGGCCGTAACGCACTTTATTTATTTAATGTACATAAATTAAATAGTTTTCCAGTATAGTACGTACCACACTTAACTGCGACAGTAACATTATTTGAAACTTTCTTCAAATGTTCTTAAAATCAAACTTCATCGAAAAAATTATTATAAACTTCAACTTATTGAACTTCTTCCAAACATATTTTTGACCTTAAAATTATGAAAAAATGATTTTTCTTATCGACTTATTTAGTACAGGTGATTACCCCAGCTATTCAATTGATTTCAAATCTGTTGATTGTATTGGATGCATAAAATAACTACACCAAAGGCAGTTATTATGTTGTGTAAATTTATTATAAAAATAAATCGAAATACTAAATAGTAGAATTAATCTAGAATAATAAAAAAAAATTCTTTTGAAATACAAATTAAGACCAAGGGGATTTCCTTGTACTAAACCGCATATTTTTTGATTAAAAATTTTTCTATAAAACTGAAGATTTTTGTGTTTGAAATCAGTTTAAACATTGCTGTTGAAAATTGCAAAACTAAATTAATTAAAAAAAATAATATTTCTTACTAATATTTAAAAAAAAAACTTTATTAAGATGAAATATACAATTTTTGCTGCTGTATTTGCTATAATTTTTGCAGTTGCTGCTGCTTATCCCTATGAAACTGAAAATCATTTAGATGAAGATCAGTTATTAAATTTTGATTCGAGTTTGGAACATAATTTACGTCAAAAACGCGCAACATGTGATTTACTTGCAAACGAACAACTTTGTGCAGCTCATTGCCTTGCTCAAGGATTCAAAGGTGGTTGGTGTGATAGCAGAAAAGTTTGCAATTGCCGTAGATAAAAAAATGTATATGAAACTTTAAACGTTATATTGTAATTTTTCTTATAAATAAAAAATTTGAAATATGAAGGAGACTTGAATTTTCATTAAATTGTGCTTATTAATTTTAGGGTCTTAAAAGGGATGAAATGGTAATGTTGAAGTATTTGTACTTTCGTTATGAGTCTAACAAAATAATTTGATGTTCTTATATGCTATAGAGTTCTCAAAATTTACATTTTTTTCATATCTTGTCAGCAATTTTCTTTCATTTCAATTAAATTTAAAAATTTTATAGAATTTTGAAATTTTTGCAATTTTTAAATTTAACAATATTCTTCTTTTATGTTAGAAGAATATTGAAATGAATAGTTTTTTTTACATATAGTCAATCTTCTCCCATTGAATATTCTGTAGACGAACACAATATTCGTTTTCTGTATATTAAATTTAAATTCAATTTGTTTTACAATAAATACCACAGCTCAGAATAGCATTTAAAGAATGAAAAACAATTTTGAATATTTAGACAAATTTTATATCTAGAATAAGATCATTTCGAAGTAAATTCAGTTTTATTATTATTACTGAAAAGTAATGCTATTATCAGATAATCCTTGCAATTATTGCAAAACTTTATTAGAAATTAACAAAAAGAATAACAAATCACAACAATAGTCGATAAAAAAGAATTTTTTTTATCAAAATGGTAAAATCTTTAATGTTTAGAAAAGAAAATATAAAAAAAAACACTGAAAACCTATTTTATTAGAAAAAAAAAACACAGAAAGAAAATATCATTTGAATGCTCCTTTTTATATTATCCTTGAAGGATATTTTCCAACTAAATTTTAAAAAAGATGAGGGTAGCTTGTATTTATGTATCAATTTTCTTTTATTGTAGGCAATATTAAAGCTATTGATTTTCTTTAGAAAAAACAGTTATTTTAAAAATGAGTTGTTTAAAATTCAAAATAACTAAGTCTGTTTTTTTACCCGTATGAATGTATGTTCGAAGGGTATACTAAATTTACCTTACCGTTTGTAACGCTAAGAAATAATGGTCTGAGATATAGACTCAAATGTATGTTTTTGGTCAACGTTGAATCCTGAGTCGATTTAACCATGTCTGTCTGTCTCTCTGTTAAAAACTAATTGAGCTAAGATCACTAAATTTTCACAAATGATTTCTCATATAGAAAATTATAGAACCCTATTTAAATTCGATATGTTTGAGGTACTGGTTCGGATAGTTGCCATACAACTTCAAAAGTTATTTGGCTATATCTCAAAAATTATAGAAGCTGTTATATCAAAATTTTGTACAAGCAAATATATTATTAAGTGTCAGTAATAAAAATCACTGAAATTTCTTGTCTCCTTGTGATATATTAAAAACCATTGAAATAGCAGTACAGAAATTTTGCATAAATTAATATGGCAATACGGTAAATTAATTTTCTGTCCCGTAGTCAGCTGTGGCATATTTGTTCTTCCATTAAATAAAAAATTCGTATGGGTATCACAGAGTTGACATGGTCAACTCTATTTTTCCTCATTTTTGCTAAATCCCATATTAAAAAACAAAACATTCAACATTTTTTATATACTTTACATTTCTGTAAACCTTCATAAAACATTGTATAATAACGTAAAAATGATTGTTATTCCATTGCTTTAAACCAATATAAAAGTTTTGTATAAAAAAATCCTTGTAATGTATTGTTCGTGTAATTCAAATGTAAAGTGTTATACTAAGTACAAACTATGAAAATGTATACATAAATTTACGAGAAATGCAGTCAACAATTTAAAATTTCTTGAATTCTTCAAAAATTGTAATTTTGTATTTATGTATGTAAAAAATTCATAAGAATTTTAAACTCCTACTAAAAATGTTATAATTATAGGAATAAAAAATCATATAAACTTTAAGAAAAAATATATAAAACTTGACAATAAATAATTTTTGTATGTAACTAAATACTTTAAAAAATATTCTAAAGTTTTGAATAAATTTACAATATAACACAATTCCAATGAATTTCTGCAACGGTGCCATGTTAAAATCAAATAATAATTTCCCACTTTAGTGTAACTTTTATAAAAGCAATTTACATAATTCATTACAGTTACAATTTTAGATAAAAATTCATTAAACTTAGAATTTTTAAATGCTGAAGGTGAATTTGAAAATTTTGGTGTATATATATATATATATATGTTACAGTATAACTAAGAAAGCAATTCAGAAATTATTTGCATAATTAAATTTTGAGATGAAACTTTACTACAAGAAATTTTATCGTTGGTATTTATAGTTGAACTTTACATATTATATTCATCTAACATCTTCAAATGATGAATAAATTTTCGATTTTATTATATAAATTTGAAATTTCAAACAATTTTAACTTTTATTTGTATTTATAATTATCTTTTGACTCAATAGTAAGTGTGTTCCTTTGAAATGTTAGTAAATATTTTCAACTATTCGCAAAATTAGTTGAATATGGTCTTACTCTTTTCCATCAGTTCTTAAAAATATGTCAATATTCTTAGTCTTGCAGACTAAAAGTTCTGAAGCCTAAAGTTATTTTAAAATAATTGGAGCAAAAATATAATTTTTTCGATCAAAGTTGTGGTTCTAGCACCAATAGACACTCCAATATTATATTTGATTCCGATTTGATACGGAAGTTGATAAAAAACAGCAATAATGCAGGAATTGAATAATTTTATTTTGATTTGAAGATCTTAGGTGACAATTTTTCTCTCTGGATAGCCCATTCTCTTGTGTTTTAAGTCCCAATACTGCTGCTCAATGTTTCGCTCTAAAAACAAAATGACACATAAAAAATAGTTTTGTATATACTTATCTTGAAAAGTATTTTTTTTTTTTGTAAAATCATAAATGCCAGATTTTTTAACTTTTACATATGATTTTAAGACAACTTAAATAATGATTAATTGCGCCGAAGTTGTCTTATTTCATTATAAAATTCAAATCGAATCAAACCGATCATTTGTAAAGTAGCACATTTCATTTGAACTAATGAAAACTACATATGTTTTCCTTTAAATGAACTTCGACTTAAAATCTCAATAATGATAGCTAATTTGTTGTATCCAATATGTAAAATCATTGCATACTTTTCGGATGAGAATATCAAAAATTAAATAATGCGTAAAAATAATGGTCAAATTTCAGGGCTAATCAGGAGTGTTAAGATTAATAGTTACTTATTATGTCTTTTAATAGGAAAATGCTGTTGTAGAAATTTAGAAGACAGTTTCAGAAAATAGGGATGGGAAACTTAAGATTTGTTAACTTAGTCGATAAAATTTGAGCAGTAGAGATATAAAAAAAAATTTTAGTTTTTAATAATCGTTAAAAATTTAAGCTTCGACATCTTACCGTCTTCTAATCTTACCATTTTTAATACCATTTAAAATTTTCAAAAATAAAAGCCCGTTATTGTCTATGCGTTTTCGCGGTAAAAGAAGGAAATTTCCGTGTTTATTAGTTCTGATTCAATAAGTTGTAAAAAAAGAGGATTAAGGAGTTAGAAATAAATTTCCTTCCGAAATAAATGTAAAAGGTCCGACTTAAGGAACACGGAAAGTTTGTAAGCAGTCGTACGAAAGCGCTGGCTGAGCTGATAAATCAAACCAATAAGCACATTTTTCTTTTTTAATCAATTTTGCTAGAAATGTGTTGAAAAGTAAATATTCATCATTATTTATCCCTGTATATTTTTTTACATGTATATTACCAAATCATTTGTGTAAAACTTTAATTTACCAAACATAAAAAAAAAAAAAATCAAATAAATAAAATTAGCAAAATAAACGTTCAAAATGAAATGTAAATGGGTGGCCCTGGGGAACAAAAAGTGTAAATTATAAAAGTTTATAAAACAAATAAATATGGAATACTTTTAAAACAAAAATTTCAGAAATCGTTTTAATATACATGTAAACATGTATATAACAAACATACAAATATACAAATGTACAAATATAATAATAATTACAAGTATACCTTTAATTTACACTAAAAATTCTTTTAATTTGTTTCGTAATTAACAAGGATATAACAATTTTTCTCTTATTGTGTGTGTGTATGTACACTAATTATTACTAATTTTACAAATCTCATTAATACCAACTGCTGGAAAATTATTACAAATATATACTTACATAAATACGAATATAATGTAATAAAAATATTTAAATAAAAGGTGGTTATAATAAAAGTACATTTATAATAAAATTTTATGTTAGTTTGCTTTATTATCAAATTTTATTAGGGGCAGAGGTGTATACAATATGAATTTTTATGTTATTACTTTATTCCAGTATATTTTTTAATATTTCTAAGTTTTTGTTTTATTTAGTCTAATTATAAGTATCCTTTTTCTTGTACTAGTATATAAATTGGTTTTCCTGTTAATTTTATACTTTCGAAATTTTTGAATTAAAATTATATTCTAAAGACTTCACTTATTTAAAACTTATGTATATAGTATCTGCAAAATATAATTGAATCAACATTTTTAATCCATAAAATTATGGGATTCTTTGATCAACTTCCAGGGAAATATCGCGTTAAAAAAACAAATCAACGTCTGCTATTTATTAAAGTACAGCGTGTTATTAAAAGCGCAGACCTAAGTTCTTATGTAAAAATATCTTGCTATTCCATATACCATCCTAAATGTTTCAATTGAAGACTTACTCTTCATAATGATATAAAAGCTTAATTTAGTACATATTTATATATTAATATACGTACATGCGTAAAAAAACTAGAATAATAAATATCACGCATTTTAAAAAGTGTTATATGAAAAAAATTCATACACACAAAAACCGACTGAATCGGCAGATAAACATTTTTCAAAAATAGATTATTTAAGCTTTCCTAGAATGAGGAATTCGTTTTGACCGATAACTCGACTTCCGAAATTTGGTGGTAATAACGAAAAACATATTAGTCCGGCACAGTGCACTACTATGTAGTAAAATTTAAGTGATTTGCCTACAATATATTTTTAAATTCAATGTTGTAGAAATTATATTGCATTGCGTTAAAATTCATGAGAAATTTTTAGTTAAAACTAAACAGTTATTTGACTATAACAACTAGCTAACTAGTTATTAGGTACTAACAACCATGAATTCTTTGTTAGTACCTTCCTATATAGTAAATAAGTACATCTGATAAATCTATAGGAAAAACTTTATTTAAATAACAATAATTCTTTGTCAATGCTTATTACAAAAATTGATAAAAAAAAATTGTTTATTGTTAATGAATTATTTACGTGTATTCCAACCTGGAATTTGTTTAAAGTCAATATACAAGTTCGAATAAAATACATAATGCGGCTTGAATTTTGTGTTAGCTTCTGTATTCAAATTGCAATTTTTTTAAGATAACGGAAACATCTGAAGTTCGAAAATTGCTTATAGCCTAAATTTGCATTTTATAGCTTTCCACCTTTCAGAGCAACCCGATTAATAACCTAAAATTTTAAAGACTCGAATTTTTTTTAGTATAATCATTGCATAAAAAATTATTTTTAGCGCATTTTTAATAAAATTTTACTATCATCATTGCTCAAATTTTCAGATCGGACCATAATATTAACTGAGAAACGATGGGCTAATTTTATATCTGCTTCGCTCAAATATCTATATATGTATATAAATTTTTTAGTATTCCTAAAAAGAGACTAGATTTGATTTTGTTGTTTACTAAGATTAAACAAACATAAATTATTAAATATAGATTTAAAACTTGGACATGTTTGCTTGTCAACAGATTTTTGAATTTGACAATGATATCACTTTGATAAGGTTTTTCTTTTTGCAAATCAGAGCTCTCATATCATTCTTTCTATCATATACGAAGTAAATATTTTCCATTATTCAAAAATATTAAGAAAAAATAACAGCATGTCGGTTGAACAAAACTTTTTTTACATAATAAAAAACAAATGCACAAAGAACATTTTCATCTTTTATAATAAAAATACAAAATTATGAAAATGACAAAAGTATACAAGCTCTTTCATCACAGATTTTAAGAATCTTTGTATTTCCTTTACATAAAATATTTTTTTTTAAAACATCACGTCCTTCTTCAGTGCATATATAGTGATAAAACAAAATGTAATACAAGTTATGTTTTTTATACTAAATTTTAACAAAGTGTGACAAAGTGGAAAAATTCTAATATAAGTGAAATAAAGAATACTTTTTCTCATTTAAAAAAAAAAACTTCTCTTATTCTTTTTTTAAACAAGTTTTATTGTAGTTGGTAGCTTATTTAATTTATATAAGAATTTTATTCAAGGATGCTGACGAAAATAATATGTGTGATTTAATATCTACTGAATGGCTTACAATCATGAAAAATCCGAGTGAATTTTTTAATTTATATTACCTCTATACAAGTACATTTATTAAGAAGACTACAAGGAAATTTTCTTGAAGTGATATGAGAACTTTCAGTAGTTAAACAAAATAGATTTAAAAGAAAATACTGTTGTAAAAATTAATTAAAATCTGTTGCAATTTAAAAGAGCTTTGTAACAGTTTATTTTATGCTTGTATATGTTATGTATATATTTGTTCAAGTTTAGAGTATTATCATACAATTAAGACTAAAATAGCTTCAAAAATACTTTTTAATTCTAAGTATTAGCTATTAATAAGTATTAGAAGTTTCGTAATTTTCGATTTAACAAAAGGAAACTTCTTATTAAGTATAAAAAGTAATTTTCGATTTAACCGGTTATAAGACTTCTCCATTAACAACTTCATTTATGTGTTGGACAAATTTTAATTTTGCGCCCACAATAAGCAGAAACTTACCCCGGAGTGTCAAAAATATCATCTTCTAACTGAAATGATTATGCCTCACGCCTGCACAATACGCTCTGTCATTTGATCCTCTTTCGAAGTGAGCTGACCGAGATTAATCTGATCTTTTTTAAGTGGTCCCTGGATAGATAATGTGTTTCTCTGACAGGGTACAAATCTGGCTGTTAAGCTAATTTAAATTTCATTCTCCGCTTCGGATCAAATTGTTTTGAATCAAAAAATTTCATGCTACACTATAAATTTGTGGATCAGTTTTACCGTAATCTTCCAAAAATCTGGGACTTAAAATTTTTTTGTGTGTCTAATCCGTTTATCGATTTTTATATATTGCAACCGTATAAAAGTGAAACATAACTAATAATATTAAAATTATTTTGCACATACATAATAATCGGCGTATCTGCGAAAGTAAATGAGATAGCGAAAATCTGATTATATATACTGAAAAATCATCGTCGAAAACCTATGAAAGTGGTCTTAAGTCAGAAATTTCAAAAGTGGCGTATGGATCAAAATAACACTCAGCCGACGATATGTATATAGCCAACTTCATTTTTAACATAGTCTGTTTTCTCAGGCGACTCACAAAAATGTTTGTTTTTTATCCACTGTTGTTATTTAATATTTGACGTTGTTTAGGCACTGCTCATACATACATTTATGAAATACAATATATTCTCTTAAATAAGAAGAATCCCGAAAGTTTTCATAGATGTACATATTATGTACAAACTTACATAATATGTACTTTATAGAAAATCAAGGAATGATTTGGATAATTTTATCTTTGCAATCGTGATTATTTTACCCGGCTTTCTATAAGGAACCAATCCATTTTGTAAAATCTACGTACATACGTATGTTATATGTATTAACTACTACATAACTACATAATTTGCTTGTTAACTACATATCGTAGTTAACAAGCATCAGATAATATTTTTATTTGCTCCCGAATAGTCACATAAATTTAAATTTCCTAACTTTAGAATGTAATAAAGTTGGGTCAAACCAATGCTTTGTATTGTAGCACTTTTCCCTTCAACAAGTGAAAATTCTGCTTTTAAATACAGTCTATGTATACCTATCACATTATTAAAATTATTTTCATTCATATACGAAACTATTTCTAGGATTGCGTATATTTAGGATGACACATATATGCAGTCTTTGAATAAAGCAAAAATTAACATAAAAAAGGGTTAACATAATGCTCGATTTTAAGGGTTAATTGTGTGAGTTAAGAAAAATAATTATATTTTTTAATGTCATGGAATTTACCGTTAGTTTTTTGCGTTTATAAAAATTTGGAAAGCTTGCGGTTTCGGAAATATAAGGTGTCAAAAATTCAAATTTTACGAATTTCAAGAGGTGATAACTTGAGAGGGGGTGGAGATGGAAAAAAATTTTCTTCTAACGAAATGAACTATTTGTAAATGTCTAAAAGCACCTAAAATTTCAAGGTTCTACAGTATGGGGTGTAGAAGAAAAACGACATCAAAAATTTGGAAAAAAAGGAGTTTAGATAACGGTAAATTTGAACGGCCATTTTGTTTTTCTAAAGTTTAACTATAGTATACCGCGGTAGGAAAAGCAAGCCACTGCCCTTCTGCGTTTGCAAAATTTCAAAAGTGCTTATGGTTTTATTGCAACAAATATTTAAAAAAAGCCATTTTTAGGGTTTTGGAGGGGTATAACTTCTAGAGGGGGGGAGATAGGTAAAAATTTTGTTCTACGGAAATAAGTTCCTTGTGAAGATCTATGTACGTATGAAATTTCAGCTTTCTATCTTCAAGGGTGTAGAAGTTTTGTAAACAGACACACGGACAGACGGACGGACGGATGGACGACAGAGTGAAACTAATAAGCACTTTTTTCAAAAAATTTTTTGCTTATAAAAATTTTCAAAAAATGAAAATATTTTATAAGCAAACTTTGACGCTACAAGAGTAGTGCTACAAGTATTTTCTGTTACTACACACTTTCAAGATAATGCATTGACGTACGCTTCAAGGAATACAACGCATAAAATATTTTGCTTCTTTGGTTGATTTCTTATTTGTCATATTAAATAAAAAATATTAAAAATAAATAATCTAAGTACACATTAAAATAAAAATTGTCATTTTCAAAAAAATTTTTATTCAATTTATTTCTTTTATTGAATAATAATGTTGCTTTTAAATACAATGAAAAAAAAAATTTTATTATAAAATTTTAATTGTGTTTTTTCTGTTTTTTTTTTGTGTCATTATAGTTTATATAACAGCCCATTATAATAATGTAGTTGGAATTGAACGCGTTTTCAAAAAAAAAAATTATTTGCCTGTGTAAACACAAAAACATCAAATAGTAGTAAATGTAATTGTAGTTTGTGTATAATTAAAAATGAATAAACAGTGTGTAAATATTTAAAATATTTGTGATTAAAAAAATTGAGAATTAAATTGAAAAAAAATATATGTATGTACATATATATGCGTATGTAGGTATATTGCTATAACCAACATAAAATAAAAATCAATTAAATTTGGAATTGGAAAAAAACCGCTATAACCGTGTCAAACAAATAAATAAATGTGCTTTTACTTTTTGTAGATTATTTTATCGTAAATGTGTGTTCATTTCTTTTGATTTAAAAAGATAAATTGGTTTGAATAAATTAATTATAAATTCTATTTAAACATGTTCAATATTACATTTAATAGAATTTTTAGTAAAATTTCAATATTTGAATTAAAATTATGATTTTATTTATTAAATGTTTGCAGAAATTCTATATATAAATAAATAAAAAAAGCTAATTAAAAGTGACTTCATTTGGTTCTTGTGTCCGTCGGGACCCTAACGAGGGCCTCATCATGGATGAGGCACCTAAAAAGGGTAACCCATCATTATCAATAGATCGGGCAGCATTTCTTTTACTGCGTGTTAAAAAGGCATTCAAAAGAAAGCGTCAACAAAGGAAAGAAAAATTGTAAGTATATTTTTTAATGAAATTTTTATTTTGTAAAAAATTTACTTATTAAATTTTAAAAAAATAATTATTAGGATTACTAAACGAAATTCTTATTTCATTTTCATTATGAAAGGGCCGGTTTTCACTTACAAATTTTTCAATATTCTGTGAATAATTTATTAGATTATTATTGTTTCTAAGAATGCACCACTAATTACAAAATTTAATTATTTCTTAAGAATTACAATCCAATTGTAATTATTTTTCATGAAACCTAACCTTATTTTTTTAGTACTGTAGTCTGTGACATCTAATTTCAATCGATTTCACAGCCTACTTAACATTTTAGAATTTTAAGCATAAATAGAATATAAAGCTATCAAGAAATTTTCAAATTTGAAAAAAAATAGTATTTCAAATTTGAATTTTAAAAGCAAATGTTTTTTTTGTGTTCATATTTCAATTGAAAATAATTATGAAAAATACTAATTCCATCTATTATAAAAAAATCGTAACCACATCATCAATGCATTTATTCGAAATGGTGCACTTGTTTTCAGTTTCCGTAGTAGTTATTCAGTTTCCGTAACTCATAAGTAGTTTTAAAGTGCAGTTGGCATACTGCTACTTAATCCAATCAATAAAAATAGTTAACTCGGCTTTAACTCTGGTTAACAATAATAATATAATAGCAGTTATAAACTCGGCTTTAAAACTAGTTGAATTCTTTTTTCAAATAAAGTTTTGCTAACAGTACCTCACTTAATGTCATATATAATAAGCCACCAAGCTCGAAGACCAAATCGAAATTATTTTCTAAATTTGTGTGAAAATCGCAAAGATTGTTGGAATTAGCGTGACTAAATATATAATAACCAAATTTAAAAAAAATCGGCTTGTAGATTCGCTAGAAAAATGCATTGTGCATATTTTTAAATGATCGTATCATGCATATTTTTAACCTATCAAATGAAAGAATAAGTAAACGAGTTTCAGAGAAAACATTTTGATTTAAAAATTTAAAAAAGAAAATTCAAAGCAACTTCAACAATTTTTATTTTCTACTTAGGAAATATATAAAAAAAATAATTATAATAATCCAGTAGCTTATTCAGACTGCATGAGAATAACATGTTATTCTGCTCGGCTATCATAATATGGAAAATTGAATTGTCACTACATAAGCTGTTTTCGTTTGACCGTAAATTTGTTTTGGTCAATATTTTGTTCATTTAAAAGTTTTCAAAAAATATTTTTATATTTTGAAATATTTTTGGATTTGAAATTACAAAAAATTATAATATGGATTTAATTTTTTGAAATTTCTTTCAGAATTTCCTCTGGCTTAATGAAAACATCCTAAAAATAAATCATTCACAATAGAAAAACATGCTTTAATTTGACAAATTTTTCCATAAAAATTTTTGGTTAGACACTATACATAACATGCTTTTCGAGAATAACATATCATTCATTGTAGTTTGAATGCGGTATAAGCGGCTTTTGAAAACATGCAAAGTAAAACGAAAATACCCAAAAATTTAACAAAAATATTTCAATCGGAATACTTCAGAATATAAAACAGTAATTAAGCATTTTTTAATTCGGAATACTTTGGAAAATAATTTCAGCTTGATATGGCCTGATAAATAAATATGGCGGTAATCTCAGTACAAAGGCAAAAAATACAAGTTATTTGGTCGAAAAGTTGCTACTTTTAAAGACACCTTACGTAATCCGAAGTACAAAAATAATAAAAGCAACTCGGTTAAATTTTTATTTTAATATTAAAATAAATTTTCTTTTCAGTTAATGTTTTTGAACAAAAAACTTTTTCATTTGCATAACATAAGGTGCAAAAAATGTTTTCTTTTTTTTCACTCAAACCTGTCATAAAAATTAAGTAACTAACAAATAAGAGTACAGAAAAGTAAAGTATGTCAGGATAATGACTAAAAATTAACAAAACAAAAATGAATATTAACTTTTATTCAGGAAAGTTTTCCTTTTTCAATTATAACACACATAAAACATCAGAAAATAAACTCTGTGAAAAAAAAAGTTAAAAAAACAAATAAGTTCCATTTGTTTCAAAATTTTAAGGATATGCTTTTTTATATTTACTTTTTTTTACCATGCCACATTAAAACCAAAAATGTGTTGGTGTACTACATCTATTTTATATACCTACGCCTGAAAATTGTTGCATTAACAATTTGTCAACGTTTCTTTATTTCAAAAGGGTATAGGAGATCTGCAACGTATGTATGCAAATTTTAATTTGTTCTACGAAAAAAAAAGTTTTCTTTTTTTTTTTGAATAATTTCCAGTTAGCCTCTTTAATTATAATTTGTATATTCTTTAAAATTGAAAGAAAAGAGCAATTAAATGTTTTAAATAAATTAAGTAGGAAAACTTTTAATTAATAAAATACTGCGAGCACTTATTAAAATAACATTCATATAGATACAAATATACATTTTGTGAGTTTAGTATTTAAAATATTAATGTGTGATTTATATTATTAAAAAATATTTGGTAGAATCTTAAACCTTATTAAGCTTTAATAATAGGAAAAACGTTAAATAAATAACCAAATTAAATAGGTTAGCACAGCGTCTCCTTTCAAAAAGCATCAAAGTGGCCCGGGAACATCCGTCCGTCATTCTAAATTACTTAAGTTTAGAGTGACAGGCTGATTTCTCTGTAATGTATAAAAAGCACAGCATTTTCACAATTCTTAACCAAACATACCCTATTTTTTGTTAGAATCTAGAAAATGGTTTGTTGCATTAAAAACTCCTGTCTATAATAAATATTGCATAAAATATAAAATATGTATGTACGTAAATTCGTTCAATTATTATACTCGTCTTAAATAGTAAAATAAAAAGGTCCTGAATGTTATAGAAACATTTATCAACTATCATAAAAGATAGTTTCCTCAGAAGTATTACAAAAAATCAAATATTTTTTATAACGATTTCGATTTTCTATAAATTTAAATTTATTTTTACATAAAAATATTTATAATATTTTTTGTAATGGAAAGTAAAAATAAAATATTTTTACTTAAGTATTTTATGTTTGAAAAAATTTATACATAATATATGTACCTATTTCCTTTTCCAATATTTGAAGATACTTATGTATATCTTGAATTATTTTCTTGTTTACAATGCTATATTTAAATAAAATATATAAAAATTCAGTTATTTATAATGCATATATATGTATGTATATGCGGGTATAATGAAAATTTACCTAACGTTAAGTTTAAAATTTAAAAATCACAAAAAAGCCTTGGGTCATAAACTGAATGAGGACACGTTGCAAGCAAATTTTCAGTATACTTATACGAAACAAATTGAACAATAAAAAAATGTTAAATGAAAATTGAAAATGAAAATGATTTTATGTATTTTCGAAATTGCCTCAATTGATTTGTAAAAACATGCTCAGTTCTCATATTACCGTACAAAACAAACAAAGAAATTTTCTCTAAAAAATTTTACGAACTCCATGACAATTACTTATTTTTAAAATTATTTATCTTTAACATAAACTTTTCAACTTAATTCTGGTGCATGTCCAATGGACACTTTCTTCAAATGCCAGTCTCATACAACTTTGTCCCAGATTTTTGAACAGACTGACTAACAATTAAATTGAAATGAAAAATTGAAATTTTTTCTACCAACTTTATAGCAGACAAAGTAAAAGAGATAATGAATAAATTTTTGGGACAGGAAACTGAAAAAATAAAAATAAGAAAAATAAAACTTTTCTTTTATTTGAAAAAGCAAAAAAAAAATTAATATCGGAAAAACTTTTTACCATTTCAGTTTTATTTCCTTTGTTTTCTTTTGTTTTGGTTATGGTTTTCCTTAAACGTAACTGTAATGAATTTCGATTATTTAACAACCAAAAATTTCATTTTCCAACTAACCTGAATTCCATTTGCCTCAAATTTTTCGTTTTTGTTATGAAAAATTTAAAATTTTTCAGTAAAAAGTTTCTGTTATTGTCATTAAAAGGTCAAAAAAAGGTCAATTTAGATAGTATATAAAAAAAATTGTGATTTGAGTTCTTTAAAAATTTTTATCTTGTGTTGCTGCACACCGTTTGCCTAAAAATATTTCTATTAAAATAGAAATAAAATAAATGAAACTTTTTAAATTTTTCTTGATTGTGATTTTGGTTTGATATTGCAGTATTATTGATTAAAATTTGTAAATTATAAGGTCTAATTGATCATTGTTTAAGGTAGATTCTAAAATTTTTTGAACCTCAGAATTAGAAAAATGGCAAAATCCTAGTTTTTTTTATTTAAAATTCTGATCACTTGAATCTAAGTTGACATTGTCTTGAACCAGAGAGTGACGACATTCCTATGAATTCATTAAATCTTAATATATAGGATAAATGTAAATTTATTAAACATTTACAAAACGAAAACTATGTGTGTTTACACAATTAATTGGTTCATATTTTTGACAACTGATTAAACTTTCATTCATCATTTATTAATTGTAGATAGTCTCTTATTTTCAAAAGAAACATATTATCAAAATTTTGTTATTGCTAATGATTTTCTCATAGAAGTATTTTTCTATTGCTTCAAGTTTATTATTTCAACTTTAACCAATAATTTGTCATACTTTAAGATTTAATAATTGTTTGTATAAAATATACGAATTAAATTTATACAAATATATAAAAATAATATGTTATTTAATCCAAAAAGATCGACTTTTAGATCAAAAGTTTTCTTTTCATTAAAATATCAAAAATTAATTTTGTATACAAAATGCCGGATATGATTCTGTCCGCATTTGATACATATTTTTTTACTTTTTGCTGATGTTATTGATTTTTTAAGATTTCGAAATCGTATTGAATTGAAAAATATATTTGTACGTACATATAAATATTAGTATATTAAATTACTTACATATATTTATATAAAAGGTGTTCCAAAATTCATGTCAGATTTGAATTTTGTGCTATTTGTGCGG